CCTCACCTGTGTCAGTGATCCCCCCTCACCTGTGTCAGTGATCCCCCCTCACCTGTGTCAGTGATCCCCCCCCTCACCTGTGTCAGTGATCCCCCCCTCACCTGTGTCAGTGATCCCCCCTCACCTGTGTCAGTGATCCCCCCCGCTCACCTGATCTGTGTCAGTGTGATCCCCCCTCACCTGTGTCAGTGATCTCCCCCTTCACCTGTGTCAGTGATCCCCCCTCACCTGTGTCAGTGATCCCCCCTCTCACCTGTGTCAGTGATCCCCCTCACCTGTGTGTGTCAGTTCACAGTGTCAGTGATCCCCCCTCACCTGTGTCAGTGATCCCCCCCCTCACCTGTGTCAGTGATCCCCCCCTCACCTGTGTCAGTGATCCCCCCTCACCTGTGTCAGTGATCCCCCCCTCACCTGTGTCAGTGATCCCCCCCTCACCTGTGTCAGTGTCCCCCTCTCCTGTGTCAGTGATCCCCCCTCACCTGTGTCAGTGATCCCCCCTCACCTGTGTCAGTGATCCCCCCCTCACCTGTGTCAGTGATCCCCCTCACCTGTGTCAGTGATCCCCCCCTCACCTGTGTCAGTGATCCCCCCTCACCTGTGTCAGTGATCCCCCCTCACCTGTGTCAGTGATCCCCCCCTCACCTGTGTCAGTGATCCCCCCCCTGTGTCACCTGTGTCAGTGATCCCCCCCTCACCTGTGTCAGTGATCCCCCCCTCACCTGTGTCAGTGTGTCAGTGATCCCCCCCTTCACCTGTGTCAGTGATCCCCCCCTCACCTGTGTCAGTGATCCCCCCTCACCTGTGTCAGTGATCCCCCTCACCTGTGTCCCCTCCCCTCACCTGTGTCAGTGATCCCCCCCTCACCTGTGTCAGTGATCCCCCCCCCTCACCTGTGTCAGTGATCCCCCCTCACCTGTGTCAGTGATCCCCCCTCACCTGTGTCAGTGATCCCCCCTCACCTGTGTCAGTGATCCTCCCTCACCTGTGTCAGTGATCCCCCCTCACCTGTGTCAGTGATCCCCCCTCACCTGTGTCAGTGATCCCCCCCTCACCTGTGTCAGTGATCCCCCCTCCTGTGTCAGTTATGTGTCAGTGATCAGTCCCCCCCTCACACCTCTGTGTCAGTGATCCCCCCTCACCTGTGTCAGTGATCCCCCCCTTCACTGTTGTCAGTGATCCCCCCCCCCTCACCTGTGTCAGTGATCCCCCCTCACCTGTGTCAGTGATCCCCCCTCACCTGTGTCAGTGATCCCCCCTCACCTGTGTCCCCTCACCTGTGTCAGTGATCCCCCCTCACCTGTGTCAGTGATCCCCCCCCTCACCTGTGTCAGTGATCCCCCCTCACCTGTGTCAGTGATCCCCCCCCCCCTCACCTGTGTCAGTGATCCCCCCTCACCTGTGTCAGTGATCCCCCACCTCACCTGTGTCAGTGATCCCCCCAATCACCTGTGTCAGTGATCCCCCCCCTCACCTGTTGTCAGTGATCCCCCCTCACCTGTGTCAGTGATCCCCCCCTCACCTGTGTCAGTGATCCCCCCCTCACCTGTGTCAGTGATCCCCCCTCACCTGTGTCAGTGATCCCCCCCTCACCTGTGTCAGTGATCCCCCCCCTCACCTGTGTCAGTGATCCCCCCTCACCTGTGTCAGTGATCCCCCCTCTACCTGTGTCAGTGATCCCCCCTCACCTGTGTCAGTATCAGTTCACCTGTGTCAGTGATCTCTCCCAGTGATCCCCCCTCACCTGTGTCAGTGATCCCCCCTCACCTGTGTCAGTGATCCCCCCTCACCTGTGTCAGTGATCCCCCCTCACCTGTGTCAGTGATCCCCCCTCACCTGTGTCAGTGATCCCCCCTCACCTGTGTCAGTGATCCCCCTCACCTGTGTCAGTGATCCCCCCCTCATCACCTGTGTCAGTGATCCCCCCTCACCTGTGTCAGTGATCCCCCCCTCACCTGTGTCAGTGATCCCCCCTCACCTGTGTCAGTGATCCCACCCTTACCTGTTGTCAGTGATCCCCCCTCACCTGTGTCAGTTATCTCCCTCACCTGTGTCAGTGATCCCCCCTCACCTGTGTCAGTGATCCCCCCCCCTCACCTGTGTCAGTGATCCCCCCCTCACCTGTGTCAGCGATCCTCCCCTCACCTGCGTCAGTGATCCCCCCTCACCTGTGTCAGTTATGTCTCAGCAGTATCAGTTGTCTCATCTCTCCCAGTGATCCCCCCTCACCTGTGTCAGGGATCCCCCCTCACCTGTGTCAGTGATCCCCCCTCACCTGTGTCAGTCAGGATCCCCCCTCACCTGTGTCAGGGATCCCCCCTCACCTGTGTCAGTGATCCCCCCTCACCTGTGTCAGTGATCCCCCCTCACCTGTGTCAGTGAACTCCTCTTACCTGTGTCAGTTATGTCTCAGCGGTATCAGCGCAGTCTGTTCTCTCTCTGGCAGATCTGGGGCCCGGGGATGTAACCTTTATATAGGGAAGGTTGGGATCCCAGAGGGGCCCCACCAGTAGTAGGTCCCCTGTGTGGACATCAGGGAGCTCATTATTACACATATGTCTCTGGGATCTGACAATCTCCTACACAAGAAGGTCAGAGAAGGAACCGACTGCGAGAATTTGTGACACCATCAACCGCTGGTACCCAGCACATGCTGGCTCACAGTTGTCACCCTTCCAGATGCATCCTGGGAGTTTCATGTCTTCAGTCCTGAGAGAGGGAGGGGCATGGAAATACATGACCAATGAGATGAGCAGGTTGACTGGACCTGAGGTTTGAAACCAAACATTGGCTATTTGGGCATTCGGGAGCTTTATCCAGCTGTTTGGTCCCGGGGAGAACCTGACACCGACCAGCAGCAGCCCTCCCTCCCCCCCCCCACAGAGAGCCTGACACCGACCAACAGCACAGCCTCCCCCCCACAGAGAGCCTGACACACCGACCAACAGCACAGCCTCCCTTCCCCTCATGGAGAGCCTGACACCGACCAGCAGCACAGCCTCCCCCCCACACAGAGAGCCTGACACCGACCAGCAGCACAGGCAGTGCCTCCCCCCCCCACAGAGAGCCTGACACCGACCAGCAGCACAGCCTCCCCCCCCCCACAGAGAGCCTGACACCAACCAACAGCACAGCCACCCCCCCCCCCACAGAGAGCCTGACACCAACCAACAGCACAGCCTCCCCCCCCACAGAGAGCCTGACACCAACCAACAGCACAGCCTCCCCCCCCCCCACAGAGAGCCTGACACCAACCAACAGCACAGCCTCCCCCCCACAGAGAGCCTGACACCGACCACAGCACAGCCTCCCCCCCCACAGAGAGCCTGACACCGACCAGCAGCACAGCCTCCCCCCCACAGAGAGCCTGACACCGACCAGCAGCACAGCCTCCCCCCCCCACAGAGAGCCTGACACCAACCAACAGCACAGCCTCCCCCCCACAGAGAGCCTGACACCAACCAACAGCACAGCCTCCCCCCCCCCCACAGAGAGCCTGACACCAACCAACAGCACAGCCTCCCCCCCACAGAGAGCCAGACACCGACCAACAGCACAGCCTTCACCTCACGGAGAGCCTGACACCGACCAGCAGCACAGCCTCCCCCCCCACAGAGAGCCTGACACCGACCAGCAGCACAGCCTCCCCCCCCACAGAGAGCCTGACACCGACCAACAGCACAGCCTCTCCCCCCCACAGAGAGCCTGACACCGACCAGCAGCACAGACCCCCCCCCCCCACAGAGAGCCTGACACCGACCAACAGCACAGACCCCCCCCCACAGAGAGCCTGACACCGACCAACAGCACAGCCTCCCCTCACAGAGAACCTGACACCGACCAACAGCACAGCCTCCCCCCACAGAGAGCCTGACACCGACCAACAGCACAGCCTTCCCTCACAGAGAGCCTGACACCGACCAACAGCACAGCCTCCCCCCCCCACAGAGAGCCTGACACCGACCAACAGCACAGCCCCCCCCCACAGAGAGCCTGACACCGACTAATAGCACATCCTCCCCCCCACAGAGAGCCTGACACCGACCAACAGCACAGCCCCCCACAGAGAGCCTGACACCGACCAACAGCACAGCCTCCCCCCCACCGAGATTGGGGATCCTGATGTAAGGGGGCACTCTGATGGAGACAGTTGATGTAAGGGGGCACTCTGATGGGGACATTTGATGTAAGGGGGGCACTCTGATGGGGACATTTGATGTAAGGGGGGCACTCTGATGGGACAGTTGATGTAAGGGGCACTCTGATGGGATAGTTGATGTAAGGGGGCACTCTGATGGGACAGTTGATGTAAGGGGGCACTCTGATGGGACAGTTGATGTAAGGGGCACTCTGATGGGACAGTTGATGTAAGGGGGCACACTGATGGGACAGTTGATGTAAGGGGGCACACTGATGGGGACAGTTGATGTAAGGGGGCACTCTGATGGGACAGTTGATGTAAGGGGGCACACTGATGGGGACAGTTGATGTAAGGGGGCACTCTGATGGGACAGTTGATGTAAGGGGGCACACTGATGGGGACAGTTGATGTAAGGGGCACTCTGATGGGACAGTTGATGTAAGGGGGCACACTGATGGGGACAGTTGATGTAAGGGGGCACTCTGATGGGACAGTTGATGTAAGGGGGCACACTGATGGGGACAGTTGATGTAAGGGGGCACACTGATGGGGACAGGTGATGTAAGGGGCACACTGATGGGACAGTTGATGTAAGGGGCACTCTGATGGGACAGTTGATGTAAGGGGGCACTCTGATGGAGACAGTTGATGTAAGGGGGCACTCTGATGGGACAGTTGATGTAAGGGGCACTCTGATGGGGACAGTTGATGTAAGGGGGCACTCTGATGGGACAGTTGATGTAAGGGGCACTCTGATGGGACAGTTGATGTAAGGGGGGCACTCTGATGGAGACAGTTGATGTAAGGGGGCACTCTGATGGAGACAGTTGATGTAAGGGGGCACTCTGATGGGACAGTTGATGTAAGGGGGCACTCTGATGGGGACAGTTGATGTAAGGGGCACTCTGATGGGGACAGTTGATGTAAGGGGAGCTCTCTGATGGGACATCTGATGTAAGGGGGGCTCTCTGATGGGACGCCAGATGTAAGGGGGGCACTCTGATGGGGACGCCTGATGTAAGGGGGGCACTCTGATGGGAACACCTGATGTAAGGGGGCTCTCTGATGGGGACACCTGATGTAAGGGGGCTCTCTGATGGGGACACCTGATGTAAGGGGGCGCTCTGATGGGGACACCTGATGTAAGGGAGCACTCATGATGGGGACACCTGATGTAAGGGAGACCTCTGATGGGGACACCTGTTGTAAGGGGGCGCTCTGATGGGAACACCTGATGTAAGGGGGCACTCTGATGGGGACAGCTGATGTAAGAGGGTACTCTGATGGGACAGTTTATGTAAGGGGGCACTCTGATGGGACAGTTGATGTAAGGGGGCACTCTGATGGGACAGTTGATGTAAGGGGGCACTCTGATGGGGACAGTTGATGTAAGGGGGCACTCTGATGGGGACAGTTTATGTAAGGGGCGCTCTGATGGGGACAGTTGATGTAAGGGGGCGCTCTGATGGGACAGTTTATGTAAGGGGGCACTCTGATGGGGACATTTGATGTAAGGGGCACGCTGATGGGGACATGATGGGGACATTTGATGTAAGGGGGCACTCTGATGGGGACATTTGATGTAAAGGGGCACTCTGATGGGGATCCTGATATAAAAGGAGACTCTGAGAGGGACACCTACTATAAAGGGGTACAGATTCGGTATATCCATCCCAATCTAACTACAACCCAAGACATGTGAATGTTCCCTGCACACGTCTGTGTTGCCTCTATCTACCAATCAGACATTAGCGCACTGGATGAACAAGAGAAGACGGGTTCTCTGCATCTGTGCATCTTCATTATGCAATCTGACTTTCTTCCTGCACCCCATGCTTCCATGCCAACACGTGTGTATACTCCTCCCTACCTGCCTTCATATATACTGACTCACCCCTGACATCAGGGCAGGAGGGCTCTGCCTAAAAGGGGCCTAACACCTGATGACACCGTCTGCTGACTGCACCTGCCTGCACCCTTACCTAGTCTTCTTCTAGTCCAACCTAGATCAATACTTCATAAAATGGCTGACTGCACCTGCCTGCACCTTACCTAGTCTTCTTCTAGTCCAACCTAGATCAATACTTCAGAAAATGGATACTGCACCCTTACCTAGTCTTCTTCTAGTCCAACCTAGATCAATACTTCAGAAAATGGCTGACTGCACCTGCCTGCACCCTTACCTAGTCTTCTTCTAGTCCAACCTAGATCAATACTTCATAAAATGGCTGACTGCACCTGCCTACACCCTTACCTAGTCTTCTTCTAGTCCAACCTAGATCAATACTTCAGAAAATGGCTGACTGCACCTGCCTGCACCCTTACCTAGTCTTCTTCTAGTCCAACCTAGATCAATACTTCAGAAAATGGATGAACTGAACCTGCCTGCACCCTTACCTAGTCTTCTTCTAGTCCAACCTAGATCAATACTTCAGAAAATGGCTGACTGCACCTGCCTGCACCCTTACCTAGTCTTCTTCTAGTCCAACCTAGATCAATACTTCAGAAAATGGCTGACTGCACCTGCCTGCACCCTTACCTAGTCTTCTTCTAGTCCAACCTAGATCAATACTTCAGAAAATGGATGAACTGCACCTGCCTGCACCCTTACCTAGTCTTCTTCTAGTCCAACCTAGATCAATACTTCAGAAAATGGCTGACTGCACCTGCCTGCACCCTTACCTAGTCTTCTTCTAGTCCAACCTAGATCAATACTTCAGAAAATGGCTGACTGCACCTACACCCTTACCTAGTCTTCTTCTAGTCCAACCTAGATCAATACTTCATAAAATGGCTGACTGCACCTGCCTGCACCCTTACCTAGTCTTCTTCTAGTCCAACCTAGATCAATACTTCAGAAAATGGCTGACTGCACCTACACCCTTACCTAGTCTTCTTCTAGTCCAACCTAGATCAATACTTCAGAAAATGTCTGACTGCACCTGCCTACACCCTTACCTAGTCTTCTTCTAGTCCAACCTAGATCAATACTTCAGAAAATGGATGAACTGCACCTGCCTGCACCCTTACCTAGTCTTCTTCTAGTCCAACCTAGATCAATACTTCAGAAAATGTCTGACTGCACCTACCTGCACCCTTACCTGTCTTCTTCTAGTCTAACCTAGATCAATACTTCAGAAAATGGCTGACTGCACCTGCCTGCGCCCTTACCTCGTCTTCTTCTAGTCCAACCTAGATCAATACTTCAGAAAATGGATGAACTGCACCTGCCTACACCCTTACCTAGTCTTCTTCTAGTCCAACCTAGATCAATACTTCAGAAAATGGATGACTGCACCTGCCTGCACCCTTACCTAGTCTTCTTCTAGTCCAACCTAGATCAATACTTCAGAAAATGGTCTGACTGCACCTGCCTACACCCTTACCTAGTCTTCTTCTAGTCCAACCTAGATCAATACTTCAGAAAATGGCTGACTGCACCTGCCTACACCCTTACCTAGTCTTCTTCTAGTCCAACCTAGATCAATACTTCAGAAAATGGATGAACTGCACCTTCCTGCACCCTTACCTAGTCTTCTTCTAGTCCAACCTAGATCAATACTTCAGAAAATGGCTGACTGCACCTGCCTACACCCTTACCTAGTCTTCTTCTAGTCCATCCTAGATCAATACTTCAGAAAATGGATGACTGCACCTGCCTGCACCCTTACCTAGTCTTCTTCTAGTCCAACCTAGATCAATACTTCAGAAAATGTCTGACTGCACCTACCTGCACCCTTACCTAGTCTTCTTCTAGTCCAACCTAGATCAATACTTCAGAAAATGGCTGACTGCACCTACACCCTTACCTAGTCTTCTTCTAGTCCAACCTAGATCAATACTTCAGAAAATGTCTGACTGCACCTGCCTGCACCCTTACCTAGTCTTCTTCTAGTCCAACCTAGATCAATACTTCAGAAAATGTCTGACTGCACCTGCCTACACCCTTACCTAGTCTTCTTCTAGTCCAACCTAGATCAATACTTCAGAAAATGGATGAACTGCACCTTCCTGCACCCTTACCTAGTCTTCTTCTAGTCCAACCTAGATCAATACTTCAGAAAATGGCTGACTGCACCTGCCTACACCCTTACCTAGTCTTCTTCTAGTCCATCCTAGATCAATACTTCAGAAAATGGATGACTGCACCTGCCTGCACCCTTACCTAGTCTTCTTCTAGTCCAACCTAGATCAATACTTCAGAAAATGGATGAACTGCACCTACACCCTTACCTAGTCTTCTTCTAGTCCAACCTAGATCAATACTTCAGAAAATGGCTGAACTGCGTTTGCACTTAGGAACGGCTGCCTTATGATGATAAATGAAACCTGGCTTCACTCTCATCTATCTGATGCTTCCATGCAGTCTCCAGGTTGGACATCCTACCGTCAGGACAGAAACATGGATTGGGGAGGGGTCTTTGTATGCATGTTCATAGCGATCGGTGCACAGATAGTAAGATTTTAGATAATCAGCTATTGATTTCTTTGGTCTGTTTTGGATCTTATGTGTTTCAGGTTGGACTGTCCCTCCTGCTTTCTAGAGGCTTCTGGAACATAGGGGCGGAGAAAGTCATAAAGGCAGAATAATATTTTTTGAGTGCTAGCCAACCTTTGGGAAGGGTGGCCCAGGAGGTGGCTGATAAAAAGTGTAAACTCCAGAACAGCAGGGTCTTCCTGTTGATAGGATTCCACCAATCCAGGGGGTGGCTACAAGACAAATTGTTGCTCCTCAAGTTCCAAGCTGTGGCAGAGCTGGGGGGGGGGGGGGGGTCTGTACCTAAAGTTATCTTCAACACTCCAAGACTTCACCTGATGGATCCATTCTCCAAAGCCTCTCTACAAGGCGTCTGGAGGAAGCTGAATGGGCACAGCTGCTCCCTGGTTTCATAAGTACTTATTGCTTTGCAAGATCCTTGTGACTGAGTATTATTGGGATATGGAAGCCAAGTAATACTTCTTCCATGGGGTCCCTACCTCTGGCCTTCCCTGAGGCTTCATTCACACTTGAGTGCTTTGTAGCTTGAAGCTCAAAGCTTCTAAAAAGCTCAATGGTACCAGTTCACGCCTGATCACACAAACGGGCAGCATAGAGAACAATTGATTTTTTTTAAGTTTGAGCGTTTTTGGAGCTTCATGCTACAAAACACTCAAGTGTGAATGCAGCCTTAATCCCTTGAAGGGAACTGTATTCTGAAGTCTAGAAGAAGACTTGCCTCCAAGGAGTAGAGCACAGAGAAGAGAGTCCTCCCCGTCACAGCCTGGAGTATCCCGTACCCTGCACCCTCTCCCATCTCCCATTGTTTATGTCCTAGCTACAAACCATCTGCCTTTGGATTACAGATTCATTTGCAAACAGACCTCAGGTGGTCAAAATGGGACATTGGACCCCCCACGGGGTTGTGTGCTGAGCCCCCATCTTTAAATCCTACGATTGCACTCCATACTGTCGTACAAACAGCATTATTACATTTGCTGATGATGCTATGAGAGTCGGTTGCATTCTAGGAACGGACGAGGTATCCTATAGAGCAGAGGTTGGTGAGGTAGATGAGTGGTGGGCGACAAAGTTCCTCGAATACAAATAGTTCCTCAAATACATATAGTCCCTGGAATACAAATAGTCCCTCAAATACAAATAGTTCATAGAATACATATAGTCCCTCGAATACAAATATAGTTCCTCGAATACAAATAGTTCCTCGAATACAAATAGTCCCTGGAATACAAATAGTCCCTGGAATACAAATAGTCCCTCCAATACAAATAGTTCCTCGAATACAAATAGTCCCTCGAATACAAATAGTCCCTCAAATACAAAGAAAACAAAAGAGCCAATTTCAGAAAACATGAGAATGCAATGGAGCATCTTTTTATCAAGGGTACAGGAGGACTTTGCAACTGACAAGTAAAGGCGCCAAGATTGCAAGTCCTCTCCTCGTTCCTGTTCTTTTGCTAGAGCACTATCCCTCCTGCTGAGGCTGAACCCTCCTCCATATTGTGCCCCACTCCATGTTTGGGCCCTCCACACAACATTCTTGGCCATTGACCTTTATATCTCCAAGGAAGGAATGTCCACACATGAATAGGGTTGCTACACTTTACCAATGGTACTCAGAAAATGGCCGAGCAGTCCCATCACATTGGCATACAGTACATTGCGGAGTCTCATGACAATACATAAGGAATCACATTTAATGGACGGTCTGCAGCAGTCACATGTGACTTTAAAAATCCATTTCCCTCTAACAATCTCTCCTTGCACCCAAGGGGAGTAGTACTCACAGGACTGGAATCTCTGTCGGCACCTTCTCCATAGGTACACCTCTCCGATGACCCTCTGCAGGGGAATAGCCTCACTCAGGGAACCCTGGGCCTGGCCTAAAAGGTCTTTTACAACCTGCCCTAGCTCCAACCTCCAAAAGGGTCAGGAAGTCTACAGCCGGCTACCTTGGGTGTGGGCCTCCTCCTCCCCGGACTCCAGCTCTGTCCAGGGCCTCCACATGCTGGTTACATCTGATCTGGTGTGGAGTC